TGCAATTACAAGATATAAACACAAGGAAACCCAATTTGGAAAAAGTATCATCTCCACTCCTGGCGATCTACCCGCGAACTTTCCACTTGTCGAAACTGACGATGCACCCTGTAGTGTAGAATCATATTTAACCAAGTACACCAAAAACTTTTTGATCTACACGTCTGCTCACTTTTTGATTCCTGAAGCTGATAGTTCCGAGTCCTGACTCATAACGTATTCTGCAATTTTGAACTTGGAAGATTAAATAGGATATTTCATCAATAAGAGGCAAGGATTGCTATGAGACTCAGGATAAAACTTGTGAGGATACATTTCATATTATGGAACCGTTAATCTAAACATCATCTCGATTTCAACGAGAACTTGTCATTGAAATTTCATCCCTCGATTTAACATTGGCAGAGGGGTGAACATGCTATCGACATGAGATAATTGAGAGACGAAGATCAAATTACTTTCAACGCACATAATTAACACTTGAGGCTAAATGGGTGCAGCTGTTTGTTCGCACGAGGGAATAAGGGATGACGTCGATCATCAAATTCTATTGCTTTGTTGCTCATGATCTTCGACCTTAGCAGAAGGCCGACGAGTTACTAGAAAGTTCTTTTTGAATAGTTTAAGCCTTGCTTATGGCCAAAGAATGTAAAGGTATAATACAAAAATACGGTAAGAAAGGCCTGCGACATAGGGACTCCGCAACAGATTTAAAATCCTACATATCCCGTAAAACAGAGGCCCTTGCCCAAAGTAGCACCTCGATCCATTCTGGACGTTTGGCCTCGAGTGCTAGCGATAATTTTTCTACCAGATGCTTTCCGGCGCCTTTGGAGAAACTATGTAAGTTACATAAATATAGCGCTACCCCATAATGCATAAATATTAGCATTGCTATGTCGTCACCGTTTATCAAAAGGGTTACCAAAAACTCGCTGGCTGCCAGTGGCCATGCTATGATGGTAGCGCCCTGTTCCATCTGAAAAATTTCCATGTACGAGAAAAGTGATGTACAAGCGTTTAAGTATTCATTTTTATGTTCACTTTCAATGGAAGCTATGTACGTAGTCATTTCGTTCGTCTTATGCAATATCGTCCTGTTGTTCGAAGTCAGTAAAAAGCCTAGTCAAGTCCTATATTTGGGACTAGATAGCCTCTATACATACTGGATGAATTCCTCAATTTTGGATAGATATTCTGGGAATTTCTCGTGCTGGCTCAAAAATATGCCCATGTGTCCAAAAATGGAATTGGTGTTATCAATATGTGTGAGAAGATCCCTGTGAATCGTATTTCTCGGATTGGATGATTTCAGAATCAGTTGGTCCCTCCAAGCCTCGAAAGAACCGGTCCATAAATTACCCCCTATTGTTTGGTCTAAACAGACTGAGAGCCCCTGAAGTAATTTGCGTGTTTGGACTAATTCAGCCACAGGATCGATTTCTTCCCCCCTCAACCTCTCTCTCGACAACGATAAAGAATTTATAACCATGGTCAGAGAACACAGAGATATTGCATCTGAAGCAGATGAATAATTCTGCAAGGCTTCATTGAGACCAAGTATTGCTCGACTGTGATACTGCAAGGCAGTAGCAACCCAATATTGTGATTTGTCAGTCTCAATAGTCGACATGTGAATAGCGGCGGAGGCTAAAATGGCATGAAGCAGAAAAGTATTTTCAATTGCGTGGTGGACCATAACATCGCAGTAAAACATTATATCTCTCGAATCTTTAGAAAGAATGATGGATGTAGAGGTTGAATACTGATGCATCAATCTTAACTCTAGAGCTCTAGTGTTGTCATCTTCGAACTCTGAAGCTGTGGGTGAAGACTGAGATGAGAACCTAGCAGACAAACTGCCTTGTGTCTGGTTTGGTGGCTGCGAAAGGTAACTGCATGGTTCACCTCGTCTTGCACAAATTGCACAAGTCGGCCGTATTTCGTCGCACTGAGATTGGTATATCAGCTACAGCTCGGTGTAACAATTCAACAAGTCAAATGTTTCATCCGAAGATTCCGAACAGGATATTCAGTAGTCCCGACTGGTAGGCTAGACGTCGGCTTTCGATGTCCAAAAGTACTTTGATGTTTACAAGCAGTTCATTATGCAAATGATTTAAACAATTTATGCCACTGGAATGTGCTGCTTGAATACTGAAATCTTAAACATCTTGTTATCGGACTGCAATCTGGATTACTGAAACCCTGACACAAGAAGGGATTGTGCTTTAGGAGAACAGAAAGCGAAAAGCGAAACCATTTTCAGCAAGTAAACAGACAAGACAAACTGACCTTTACCCGTCTCCTTTTGCATTGTGTGCAGCCATTTGATGACTTGGTATGAGTTCGTCGTTTGGACATAGAATTGGGCAGGATAAAAGGTGGGAATATTAAGCCTATTTGTTACCAAAAATCGTGATGTGGTATACGAAGAACACGAAGGAATGTGGTTGAAAATGGACCTTTATTCATATGGGGCGGAAGGGATTGCCGGCGCTGGTGGTTAGGTCATGGCAAGTATTAGCTGAACACCGAATATCCACATCCGGCCGTGGCGAAGCCAGTTTAGCTTTAGCACTATAAGACTGTGCTTTGGTAATGAAGGAAGCTGCCGCATTGCATTGAGACTCTTAAATGTGAAATCATTTAATGAACAATGCTTCGTATATGTTCATAAAACAGACTGCGACTTTAACGGACACTTATTACTCCTAGCTATAATGATTTCTGTCGAAGCGGGCTGTGTATGCGATAGTTATTTACATCTCTAAAATTTAAATATTCACCGCTTCCTTGCATGGACATTGACGGGGAAGTTCTGCCTGTGAAAATCAGCGGTGAAAGATGGAAAGAGTAGACTGAAGGGGTTATTTCTATAGGATTATTAGCCAGTTAATAAGTGGAGCTATAAGAGCTCATACCTCGTATCAGCCTCTTCTCTTTGAGACATTGTAATATCACGTGCTAATGAGGTATATACGTTGGTTAGTTATCCAATTGAAAGCTGGTATCATCTTAGCTCTGTCAACAAGCTTCACGGCTATTTCAAACGTCATATTTCCACTTCGTATTCAGTTTTACCATGTAAATTTGAAAAAATATGCTTAGTCACCCCCTTCCAATTTACCCCCCTTCGTGCATTCGGGTAAAAGCAAACGGAGAGAGAAGACAGACGATTCGTTATTATACAACGCAGTGAGTAACTCTGGAATGTCGATACAGGTGGAACAATTTACCTGTCATTGTTGACAGTTCAAGAGCTGAAGAACTGAGTCGAGATAAAAAGTAACTTGAAACCTTCGAACTGTAAAAGGAGGCTGAAATACTGCTTCCAACTAAAGATAGGGTTAAAAGTCGCTCTAGTCTTGTAAGATCTTACATCAGTCTCGATTCAGACTGCGGTTAGATTGCGATCATAGAACGATGATTTACTGGTAGATTAAGCTTTGTTGACGCCATTCTTGAGCAGGTGCCAGTGGAACGACGCCTATGAAGCATGTTTTCTTTATAACATCTTTTTCCTGTCTTGATTTAGATTCCATCTGCTGTAAGAGTTTCATCTCAATTCTATTTTTGCAACATGACATGGTTTAGAACACTAAGACTAAAAGGTATAATCTGGAGGGGGGAAACATTACTGCATTAAAGCTCGCAAATCATGCTGCGAACTTCTCCTTCTCTTCCCAAAATCACTAAACAACATCACTTTACCAGCGATACACCTGCTTCGATACCATTCCCTGGTTTCTAAGAAAGCTACCACAATATCTTAAGACTCCTAGGAACACAGCGTGTCATTAGAAAACAAAACTATACTCGTGCGGCCAGAACGCATGCCACACTCTACTCACAAGCACGTCCCGGAAGGCGATAGATACAAGATTATTGGTGGTCCATACTTAGGTAGATTGTTGCATACTTTCTGACCGCATGATTATGTTGAAAATCACGACGAGCTCCCTCAAAAAGAACGGTTCTTCCAATCACTCTTATCCAATCAGATGTGACCTATACTGAAAGCAGCCCCCAATACTCCGTACGCTTGGCAACTTCCCCATGGTAGTAGCAGAAAAATCCTTTCCCCGTGATTTCGAATGCGTTAGTATGGATATAGATGCTAAAAAAAAATTGAACCCTTTCAGCAAAGGTGGGGATGGTCCAATTAGCTCTGCCCACCTGTGTTCATTTACAATGCAAAAATCGTACCATCGAATGACGAGAATTTCTATTGAAAGATGCAAGAAGCAAAATGCAAACTTCATATTCTAGCGCACTGTACAATGACGAAGTCGGGGACAGGTAGCAATCAAAGATTCTTCTAAGCAGTAGGGAGAATTTTGATTGCTTCAGAGTGGAAATGCACAAAGTTATATGAACTTATCCCAAGTGTTTCGAATTCTCGCATAAAGTTTGAGAGCGAAGTACAAATCACAAGACTTTCACAGAAAGTCAAATACGAAGGGTGACACGAGGAAGATAAAAGTACTCAACATTACATTGCATGAAATAATTTACAGTGGTCCATCTCCTTCTTCCCTTTCTTGCTTTCATCCATTATGTCGTTCCTTCTCACATTCTTTTCAAAAGCATGGGAACTCCCCACCCGAGAGTGAAAACCATGTTCAGAATCCAACTGTGACGAATTATATTAACAGACTAAGGGAAGACTATCTTAATAAGACGGGCCATTGAATAACCAAGAATCAAAAACAGAAATATCCTCCAAACACGGTAACTCCAGAAGTGTCAAGGAACCCCCGGGATACTGCTTGTCCAAGTACCTCCATGTGATAACCCCGCCGAATCTATAACTATAGACGAAAACGCTTGGAGATCGAGACCTCCGAATAATGAAACGCTGAAGGATGGACATATCTCTAACAGATTTACCGATCAATGCTATGAAAATATGACTCCTTGTCCCTGCAAACCGGCGCCTTATTACTCGCAACGCTGTAACACCCAGTACTCATATCAAGCTCCTTGTGATTTCCTTATCAATGCCCATTAGCGCCATTGGTCTTACCATTAACCTTGGCAACCTCCTGAGTCTCTCTAGGTACAGGACCCAAACGTCCATATTGCCACTCTGGCAAAGTCATCCCAGTCTGCTCATGAATAGTGGACATGAGTGGTGGAAGCATCTGATACATATTACGAATGCTATCCATACCACCCATACCGATTCCCTGAGCTTCAGCAGAGCTGCCTTCACCATTGCCACCAGCCTGTGCACCTGTATTCCAGATCGTCATCTTGGGGTTCAAACCACGAACGGCCTCGGCGTTGGCTTTGGCAAGGTCTTGGTAAGTACCACGCTCGATCATGAGGTATTGCATGAGTCCTTGTGGACCACCCATAGCCTTGCTCATATCTGCGTATGCGACGGCCATAGCACTCATACCAGCTGCCTCCTTTTGCTGTCTCAAGAGGGCTGCTTCGGCTGCTCTGGACTCGGCGATGAAATTAGCTTCAGCTTCCAATTTGATTCTGTAGGCCTTTGCTTCGGCAGCTTTCTGCTCGCTGTAAAGCTCAAACTCTGCGCGGGCCTTCTCTTTATATGCCTTGGCATCAGCCGCCTTCTGTTCACTGTAGACTTTGGCATCGGCACTCTTCTGCTCAGTATTGGCCTTTGCAAGTGCGGCTTGTTTCTCACTATACATCTTAGCATCAGCAGCTCTTTGTTCAGCGTTTGCCTTTGCTTCGGCTATCTTCTGCTGGCTATAGTATTCGGCATTTGAGCGGGCTTGCTCTTCGTAGTTCTTAGCATCAGCAGCTTGTTGCTTAGCTTCACGGGCAATCGTCGCCTTGACAACATCACTAGCACGGAGACGTTCAAGCTCGGTGAAAGCACGTTTGACTTCGACGTCTCGGCGGAGTTCCTCGTCGCGGACTTCGGTAGCACGTGTAGCCTCTTCAAACGTTCAATGCGTCAGTTTATTTCATCCTAAACCAATTGAGTCTCTCTCGAAGATTCTTGATCTCCTTTTCCCTTTGCAAAATCTGTAATTCAATATCTAGAATTGCTACTTTAATGACCATTCTTTCGAGATCCTCAGGAAGAACTCGAGCGTCAGGGTCTTCAAGCTTCAGAATTTTCAGGGTATTGGAGATTTCTTAGAGAAATGTATTAGGAAAACGTTGAGACAGATCCTCCAGAAAATAAAAATAAATATTACTGACCGATTTGAGCAACATTAACATCACGGCTGTAAACAGTTTTGCGGGTCGCAAGTGTGGCCTCAGCGCGAGCCTTCTCACTATCACGTTCTGTCTTTTGAACTGCGGTCTCGGCTTGAACCTTGGCGAGTTCTCGGTCTTGTTCTGCCCGACGCTGAGCCTCTCCAACAGTACCCAATCGTTGAGCCTCTGCTACATCGATACGGGCTTGATTAATAGCACCCTCGTGGGCTTTCTTGCTGAGAGAGGCAAAGTAGTTGGAGCCTGGAGCATCTTTGAGTTCTTTCACGTTGGCGTTATAGATTCTAAGGCCAAATTGTCCCAACTCAGATTGAATGTTCTTGAAGATGTCCTTCTTGAATGCTTCTCTCTCTGTGAAAATCTTCTCCATCGACATGGAGCTGACGAGAACACGGGTTTCACCTTCGATGATACCGACGACAATCTTTCTAAGATGTGCGCCTGCATCACCGTCATTGCTTTCGCCTTCAGCCAACAGCATTGCGAACTTCAAAAGGGCGTCGTCGCCATCCTCTGCGGCGCTCTCATGGTTAGAATCAGCAGTACGAGAATTATCGCCTCTGCGGTTGACATCGGGACCGATGGTGAATACTACAGGAATTGCCAACTGAAGTTTCTCCTTTGTCATCGCCTGAAGTGACAGCTCATAGTCGCGAGGTTGAATGTTGAATCTTCGGACCTGGAAAGCATTAGCAGTGCAATACGAGAGAATGGATATGAACCCGCCTTTTGGAAGGGCCAAACAAAAGCACTCTTGCATATTTTGACAGTCGCAATCTTTGCGCCAGTGATGGCGAGGTACTAAGAGAAGTTAGATAGGTCGTCTTTAAGCGAATTAGGAGCATGTTCAAACCTCATTGGGGGAAGCAATTTGATACATGATGATTGATATGTGATTTTTCCTTGAACTATTGAAATCTTATCACGGGGGGAAATCGAAAGACTTTATAGACTTTTGAAGGGGGGGAGATGTGTCCTGTCATACAATTAGTGGCTGTACTAGCACATTGATTTTACTGAACTATACCGGATCAGTCGATAAACGTGAATACTGACTTGAGTCCGGGGTACTTAACGCTTCTGAATATTCCTAAAAGTTCTCCAAGGTTGCCAAATGCGCTGATAGTGAACTCTCAATTATTGGTGAGCTCGTGATAACCTGCCGAAATGATGTAGATATTGGTAAATGTACTGATAAAATTGTAGAGCTCTAATAGGTATCGGCAGATATAGGCGATGAAATGTTGTGGTTTGATTGGAAGAAAGGGAGGGGCTGATATATCAGTACCTAAGATGGCTCCTTCTAAACTGGTCCGACTCTTATTTGCCCAACACTAAATTACGATTGTGTAGATCAGCTGATCAATTGATCTCTCTTGGGAATAAATGAAGTTGTAACGGCGAAGACACTAGTAATGAGACGCGAGAACAATATAGAAATGGCAATTGATAAGTGATGACGGAAATAAGTAGCGAGCGGGAAACGTCGAACAGAAGATCTAAAGTAACTTTATATACATTCACATCGACTCGCCAAGCTGAGGGCGCCATCAATAAGCAAGACATGTTCAAGGCATTTAGAACAACCTTACTGAGTCATTTTTTATGAGTATTGTGGTGAATACTTCGTCAAAAGGCAGGGCGATAGCGGGATGGGATGCATCAACAATTGAGGAGCAATTTGATGTCAAACCCATTGGATTAACAAGGGAGCCCTCGTCTAACCAATAGCGTTAAGGGCGCAATCCTGTCGACTGAAAATGAATAGTTACACTGCCGCCATTTCGACCGTGTAGAGTAAGAGCTTGGCCCTTTATGACCTATCGTAAACCTACACATTGACTATCTCCTCGCTTACGGATTGGGAATGCTGTGGTGGGAATCATCGGAAGGGAGGAGCGTGTTTAAAGAAGTCCAATCCCCACGATATCATAAAACTTTAATATTTAGACCATCAAATACTTAGATAGATAACACTATAACACTATAAGCTTATCAGCTGTTTACCGCAACCAGGAATAATTCTGCGAAATTGGCAAACGGCAAATTTAGATGCAATTCTGCCACCTTGGCAAGGCTTGCTGGGAATTCCAGCCTGGGATGCCGAGCCCCTAAATTGGGTGATCTTCCCCGGATCCACTGAGGAGTTCTAGCGAGCTTCTAGAAAGTCTCACCTGATCTCGACAGCCCCACACAGCCATTGTCATTTCTTACCTATCAAATTGCACTTCAGTGGCTATTCCTTGACCAAGGCCGATGAGGCAGATAACTTTAAATGGCTACCTTATTTTCGCATATTTTAAAGCCTTTCGGTGCATATTAGGCAGCGAAATAACACATGTTTCTTGGTACGGGGTGTAGCACAGCCGAGTGAGTTGTCCGACCTAAGCAATCCGTGAAATCGCAATTTATTTGAGTCCGAATGAGGATTTCGAAATTCCGAGGCAATTTGAGTCATATCAATGGAGAAGTCACATACATCATCGATTGCTGATAGGCTTTCTCCCAAGCGAATCCGGTCTCGTGACTACTGAACCACTAAAATCTACTAGCACTTAGTAACACTACTTTTAAGTCTACCAAGATTGCGAATTGCTGCAAAAGCAAGAGAGAGTGCGATAATCGGATTTACATCATCGGACGTACCAGAAGGCTCGCTCACATATCCTCGGTAGAGAGGGAACCTATACGTTCTTTCCATAACCAAACCTTGATCATTTCAGCGGCGTCCAAAAATATCACATTTTTGTACCTAGCTGTCAGCATGGATTTAAAAATTCCAATACACGATCACGACGATGAGCCGGCTCCTCCATCATATATGGAATCCGTCTCATCGTCGTCTGTGTCTCCTGCAGTATCGAAGACTTCGGGCTCTTCCCTTTCCCCATCTACGTCCACCTCCTATGGTACCCAAATCCAATCCCAGCTAAACCACCTCAGAACCCAATTCAGCTCCATCCAAACCCAAAAGTCTCTTTTAGAGCACGCACAAGAAGAGAAAATCCTTTCTCTCCTCACAGCCCAAATCCAAATCTATCTATCCGAGTTTGCGAACACGGGTTTGATAAAGGGAACACTGATGTTGATCCCAGCACACTGTCTTCAAAATGAAAAGGCACAGCCGCTTGATTTCGATAGAGAGAATCCTGGATATGACGTATTTGTGGAGATAGGAGATATGGAGAGCCTCAATGGCGGATCATGGTTCTGGGAGGATGAAGACATGGCAAAACGACTAGCTGAGGCTTTGAAACCCGAAAAGGAGCTACCATCCAGACCACTAGTTACGAAACAGGATTCCAAGAAGGTCGTTTCCAGTCCAGGAGTAAATTTTGGCAGATTCTGGGGCAGGAAGTCAAGTTCGAAGAGCGAGGAAAAATCAATGTTAGTAGAGGATATGAAAGTTAGCTCGACTGTCAAGGAGCCGAGAGATAAAGTACACATGAAAGTGGGTGTGGAGGAAGTTGTTTTTGAATATGAAAATAGCTTTGGTCTTTTCGAAACACAAAGAGGAAATGGTATCATGCTTCATTTCAAAATCATCACTACCAAAGAGTAGAGTCGGACTTCATAAGAGGAAGATTTAAAGATGTTTTCGAAGCAAATCTTGTGTCCCCTCTGAACACACGATCTGAATGCTATGACTCACAGGGTACAGAACCCACTACGGTGTTAGTCACGCGTGTAATAAAATAGCAATATTTACCATTATTGCCAATGAATTGATCTTGCTTATATGGACAAGATGACGTCGATATACAGCTCAAAGTGAACATCAATGTACATTCTCACATTCATCAAAAGCTTTCATGCTCCGAATTGGTCATATGATTGAAATTTCAAGGAGTTCGGAGGTAGACAACGATCGCGCTCTGACCGAACGAAAGGGAAAGGGCCGCTTGACGATGACGAGTAAGACCTAGAGCTTTGGTCCGAATTCCAAATCAATCAAGGGCTACACTCCATTTCTGCTCCGTGAGAAGAATTGGGCCCCTGATTAGTAGTAATGCTGTTCCGTTCTGCGGACGCTCCGGAACCCACACCCAAGTCAGAAGAGCTATACTCAGGACTTATGCTTGAGTAGCTATGTCAGTATAGCACTCAAGGTATCGTTATCTTCATCATCACTGCCGCTGTCTACTTCTTTCCTTTTCTCGAATCTTAAACTCAAGTCAGATAGCACATAATTCCTCACTTCTTCATGGAAAGGGCCAGAAGCCACCGTACCATGGTGATCGAAAGTGTACGTACCCCAAGTTTGGAGATTAAGACTTCGGCGCCGTGAGGATACCTCTGGGGCAGGCATTTCAATATCTTTTCTGAAGAAGGCTAAGGAATTTGTTGACGTATGACCACGAGATTGATGGTAAAAATACGAAGTTCCCAGTGGTTTTAGGTTGCAGACTTCTAACGCTCCCCGACTCTGTAATAGCAATACCATTTCTACATAATGCATATCCTTCGCAAGCTGTAATGGTGTGCCTCGGACACATTCTAAAATGTTTATGTAGGCACCGAGATCAAGCAAGACAGCCACTGCCTCCAGTTTTCGATTGAATATGGCTTGGTGCAATATTGGGATACCTTCAACTACGGCGTTGACGTCTGCTCCGTATGACACGAGAAGTTTCAGAAGGTGAACTTGCCCATTCATAGTTGCTTCCTTGAGCGGGATTCCATAGTTCTCCCCATGAAGATTCACGTCGGCATTGCACTCAAGTAAAGTCTGCAAGACTTTAACGCTGCATTTGATGATAGCAAGGTGTACTGAAGATGCTACAACAAAGCCGGCGCGTCCCTTGTAATCTCTGGGACCATCAATATTTGCACCGTGCTCGTGAAGAATCTTTATAATGCCTGATGCAGCTGCTGAATCATCGCAATACCAGATTGCTTCCATCAAAGGCGAATATTGAATGGACTGTCTATTCGAGAATCTATCATCAACATTGGCTCCGTGATCAATAAGCCACTGAACCCAATCTGAATTTCCAGAAGATGCCGCATGCGAAAGTAGGGTTTGGCCTCTAATATCTAGATTGATATCAAAACCATACCCAATGAGCTTTTGAAGTTGCTGCATTGATACAGTGCTAAGGATTCCATCTATCAAGTTGATTCTAAACGTTTTGTCAATATCCCCGCGTTTAAATGCGGTGAAAATAGTGAAAAAGTAACTTTCTTCAAGATAAGGGAACTCGAAGCGGATACTTTGATTGAAACGTGCACCGTGTTTCAAAAGACATCTGATCATATCATGATTGCTATTGTTGATTGCGATATCCAGAGGCGTCGAATGAACTCTAGCTTTGTTGATGTAGAGTGATGCCAATTGAGGGTCTTTTTGGAGGAAAACCTCAAAATAATCAACTCGGCCACACCAAGCTGCGTCCAAGAACGCAGAACCATCAAAGTGTCGATCAAAGGACGCACCACGAGCGCCCAGAAGTTTTAGGAGCCGTACTCCATCTGAGTACCGACAAAAACCAATACTGTTGGGTTTCAAACGTTCAGTGAGATGATGAACTATTGACTGACTGTTACCAGTACTGTTATTGAGTTCCCAACACTTGTCAAGATCATGTATTGCTGGATCATCTATGATCAATGAGCAGATATCGAAGTCGAGATAATATGCTGTCAGTGCCGAATATAAGGGTTTCTGCAATGTTTCGTCCATGCTCTGCTCGTGAGGACATGCTAGCACAAATTTGACAGCTAGGCCTTTATTTTGAGCAATACTTGTCGACAACGCGATTAGTAGAAGTCTAACCCTCAAGCTGGGTACAAGGGGTCCATTTTTTACCAAGAGCAAGTCGATAAGTCTAGGATCCCAGTTGACAACATAATTTCCTAAGGCCGAGCACAAGGCGGCATGTGTTCCAGCTTTGTTTTCAAAGAGGAGATTTAGAATATCGTCGTCCCCTCTGTCGAGCGCGACTTCTAATGCTGTTCGTGAATGCTCATCGGCGCTATTGTCACCTATGTTGGCACCAGCGGATATAAGTGCCCTTGTCTAGAGTGTAAAGAAAAATTAGCGCTCTATAATTGAAATGGCATTTGCAGATCATCTGTAATAGAAACATGCTTGCACGCATTGAAAAAAATGACTGGCTCATCTTACCATTTCATAATCTCCCATGCGAATTGCAAAAGACACTGCGGTTACTTTTCTCCAAGATTGATTCAATTCAGACTGTGATAGTGGAGTGGCCAAAAGAGCTTTAGAAATGTCAAGAAGGTCAAGACCTAATGCGATCATAAGCGGTGATATAGTATTTACTTCTTCGAAATCATCTACTTTCAACACGTTCCGAATTCTGTGAGTGATACGCCAGAGGTATTTTGGAGGGTATTTCACTCCAAAACAAGCTCGAAACCACATGGACCGCCGAACCGTTGGTGAGCATAAATCTATGATGGTTCGCACATCAATATGAGATGAAGATATCTTCCAATGTTTCATCCAATAGTCTGATGCATATTTTAGAAACTTGAATTGGTCTTCATTCGAGATGTTTGGTTGGCCTTTGGGTGATGTTATAAAGCACCGAGCTCCAGTATCAATCTCCGAGAAAGTGTTCAAATAGAGGTATGAGATACAAATCTTAGTCAATATAGACTGAGAATCGTATGTGTGCAAGCTGTGTCTCCAACCTGTTGCTGCAAGGCTTGAGCCCTTCGCTACCAGGAACTCTTTCGCGGTCTGGTGAATAAGATATACTTTGGAATCGGAAATGGAAACAGAAAGACCACAAATATCCCGAATTCTTTTCGGGAATAGTTCGGGATCCTCAAGCTCAATATCCTCAAAAGATTGAGATCCGTCGTAGGATTCATCTATATTGAGGGCAATATTAAGCTCATCCAGTGCTAAAGGTCTCTCTGCACCGATCACAATGTGAAGTAACTTAGTGGCCTCTTTCTTATCAGGACTTTTATCGAGAATCGCCTCATAGCTGTTCCAATAAATGATCAGTACAACAAACGATATGATATATATGAAATGAAGGAGACAGCATGGCACCGTGCGTGGGCCAATTAAGAATCTGAAAGTAGGAAACACTTACGCCTCGTCAATCGTAGAAGGTAATTCCGCGTCTAGTATTCTTTCAAATGTTTTTGATTGTCTACTAGCTTTGGCTCGAAGGCGTATCGTGTCCATGATAAGATATAGCCACAGATATGTTCGATGTTCTATGTCCTTCAATCGAGAGCGAAGTCGAGTATCCGCTTTCGAGGAGAGTTTGAGCTTATCTACCTCAGCATCAATGACGAGATTGATTTCCTCTTTTATTGTTGCCGTGGTATCCTCACCTGCCAAGCGGATTCCTGAAAATACATCCGTGAGACTTTTGAATTCCTCTTCAATCTCATAGTAAGGCCTACTTGTGATGAGGAATTTCACCTTCAAGTCGGGTGAGCCAGTAGAAATTGTCGAAGCTCTTGAATCAACAGCTATGTGTGAATGAAGTGAGACATCGGGGAGACTGGGGCTCGAGGAATGAGTGACGATATCAGGGACAGTAACCCTATACAGTGCTTGTAATTGTTTAAGAAAGAATTTTCGTTCGGAAGCGTCGCACTCGTCTAGAGCATCCAGTATACATATTATATTTCTAGTGTTTGCGCTCGTAGCTATATTTTTCACGATACCCCACATTTCATGGGCTAAATTGGCGATTTCGGTATTGTTCTTTGCCCAACTAGACTCCGTGTATACTAGAAGATGTTTTTGAGATGAAAATATTTGATGTAGCAAGGCAGCAAGGGCTTTCGTAAGACTGCGCTGCTCTTTCGAGATATCCTTAAAAAAGAAGTAGCAGACATCCGTATTCTGTTCTGATGCGACAAGGTTTTCATCAATGAGCGCTTTTGAAAGAACACTCTTGCCATAGCCTGGATCTGCCGAGATCCAGAGAACACCAGGCCCACTTCCTTCTTTCCAATCGATGAATGTGGGATGCTCAAGCACCCATTTGCAAGTTCCTGGGATGCGAGAGGGATTTTGATTCTTTTGCAGTTCATACAGATTCCCACTTCGAAAGGACTGAAAGCACTCCTGGTAATCTCTGGTCTTCTGCGAGGTCTTTGACCCATCCAACGCCTCAGCTAGCAGGGTCTGTTGCTTTTCAACTGTTTTTCGGTTCAAATCACGATCAATGGCATAGATCAAATCTCCACATCGGTGATCGAGCTCGTTCATTTCCCTAAACATAGTCGTCCAGTCGTTAAGTTTCAAGGCATCTCGAAAATATCCGGTCACGGAGTTTCCGCAAAATTGGCTAATCACTCGAGCTTCGTAAAGTAAGATTTTGGCGTAAAGTTGAATTATGGCTTTCCTTAGCTGCAGCTTTACAGCACTGCTCTGATATTCATCGGTACTGGTCGGGTCCCAGATGGAGGCTTCAAGGAGAGCATATCGATCTATGAGTGGTGGGATATTTTCTAGCCCTTCACGACAGCCCGCTTTCTCTGTGATAGGATTGATTAGAAGCTAATATATTGTCAACCTATGTTCGTCTTGGCTGATTAATCACTTTGCAATCTGGAGAAGAGACCGATTTCCCTATATATAACACTGTAGCATACTGAGTTTCAGCTATTACTGAACACAATCAATTGTAAACAACCACAGGTGACAGGACTAACTATCCAATCTTTGCAAGGATATAGACAAGATGACATATTTTCATGTATGAATAGACAAATATACCCACTTACAGGGAGAAACACGGAGACGCCAGCCCAAGCTATAGCAGCATGTGGTTCACTCTCAAGAGTAGACCCAATAAAAGTCTTGGCTGCTATCACAACTTTGACAATTTTTTCAATCTTGTCCCCAGATCGACTTGAGGGAATTGTAAATCCGTCCAGCTTTGCCTTCATCAATTTTATTAATTTGCCATTGGAAATTGGCGCATCTTGTGTAGTGCTGCTCCCAGGCGTTACATTTGCTTCACGGAGAAGAATTCGAGAGTAATCGTCCATCTAGAAAAAGGCCAAGTTAGCAGAGACCGAACTTCAATTAAGGATTCAATTCATCCTGTCGATATCAATGCCCCGCGCGCCCGAAGGATTGAAATACTCACCAATTCCGGCTCCTGGAGTCTCAAAGTATCACATGCTTGTAGCCAAAGATCCTTCGACTCATCCAATTGCATGGTCCCTTGGGATTTGGTTTGGACAATTGGGATGTTCGTTGGGGAAGCTGGATCGCGTGAAGATTGAACTCCCGCAGTGATATTGGCGACATTACTGGTGACTCCCAATAGGCCAGTAGATGTAGAAGTTGATTGAGAAGCAGACGTAATGGTGGACTCTACAAGCTGTTTGACACCACCTGGTGATTGACGAGAATCGTTCTTGGTGTGCTCCCTACGTAGAGAGTCCTTCGCTCGTTGGAATTTGTCCCTTAACCCCATGGTATTCGCAAGACCTCATGGATTTGCCTACCGATAAGTGTCCCAAGTTTTCGAAACTGTGGCGATGATGGTAAATACGTTTATCAATATCATGAGCAGAAACCATTGCAATGTTTTGGTGGTGCTTATCAGCAAGGCTCATTTGGCCCCCAACCATGCAGGATATAGCCATTATGGTTAGAAAGAGACCACTTTTAGACAAGGGAGCGAATTCCTTCTCAAAATCAGTAACTTGGAAGTGGTTGATAGCCGTCGACAAATATTATTGTCGCGATCTGTTTTTGATCTTTTTGAGGTTAGTAACAAACGGTTCAATTCCGCAGATTAAATGCTTCAATTTTCTAAGATTGCGGGCTTCATGCCAAACTTTAATTTTGGACACATGGAATTGCTTCCAAAGAGCGAGATAGTTCTCGTGTTTCATGATACATACTGGCTGGTCCTTGGTATATACAAGGAGATATAAATTAAGTCCCGCAATATGATACTCTTTCTCGGCATATCAACTCAAAGCTTTTGCAATATTATTCTCATCTTAGAGCCCGACTCCCTCGTCAACTCTAAATAAGATAGCTGGCCTTGAAGGATCCATCCTAAACAATCGCCCTACAATCGAAGTCGGACAAATTCTAGTCAACAAGGCACATTGAACCGAGGCATTTTTACTCGCGGCATACTACAATGCCTACGGTGATTATTATCATCACCTTATGACTCAAGGAGGTGCAGGAGAAGGCGACAAAGAAACATTTTCAACAGCTGCCCTCGTTCTTGGAATTAGTTCCTACACCGTATCCCAGACACCTCGTTCCCTAGGTTCACGCGGGAATGGTGCAGTCATTCTGCAAGCTGACCCCATGGAAGATGTGAGCTCAAGAGGAGAGCAAATCCCGAGACCATTTTTCATCCATACAAGCTGGCCACCGAAGCTTAATCCGCTACATAATTATCAAGGTTCGAGGCAATGGGGCAGTAAGGAGCACTCAATAAACACATTCATTGGTTTAGATGTCGAACGCACAGCGTAGGAATATATAGTACAAATGGCATGTGATGATCATATTGTCTTCAAGAGCTGGGGAATCAAACGGAGAAAGGGGTTTGTGAGCAAATCAGGGGAAGCTTCAAATATATGTTTGGAGAGGAATATAACAAGTTGGGCGGGTGAATGGAGGTCAAGGAATCTAGCTCTGCTATATGTGTGGTTTGCACATGGCAACCCAAGCGATATTCCAGGCAATGCGGGCGATGGTATAGAGCTTTAAATAATGATTGAAAGTAGAGTTCTGTAGAAAGACTCTACAAATCAGATGAGCAAGTCCATCCATACCATCAAAGTAATATTTTTCGGCCAGCTACGGGCTCTTATTACAACGAGCCTACTTGAAAGCTTTATCTAATCACTTCGCTTGCGAAAAGGTATACGAAGACTGAACGCGCAGAAAAGTGGGTTGCTGATTGACCTCCTCGGAAAACGGTTTCGAACACTTGCAGGCCGTCCGAAAATTTCTGAGGCTCAGGATATCTTGTTTTGAAATCACTGGCTTCGAACATCAAGGATCTCGGGAAAGAAGATCTTGTACGAAGATCCGGGCCCATAACTGAGCCCAAGAGATTGCATTCATACTCTCTTAAATAGATCGAAAGAGTGCCCCGCCTGGGCACTTGTGAGGATAAGATTTCCTCATACCATTTAAACTCCAAATAATTCATCAATCTTCAATTTAATCTCAGAGTCCAAACCAATTCGATTTCATCATGTGGAAAGAGTGATACCCTGTGAATTCCATTTGTCGTTGGCCAATACCTCGTATTTTGAAACATTCGCTCAAGGTTCATCTAAGTTTATTCACTAAATAATTCATACTTGGCATTCTGCAAGACGATATTTTACATATCTCGAAAAGAGAGTCAGAGACTCAGCGGTTTCTGGGGGATAACGAGCGGGGTGATAATAGCCCCACCACGCGAAGAGAAAGGATTATTAGTACGCAGCTCGGATGCAATCTAATTGTACTGAGGGAAAAGTTTTCTCCCTTACCACAACGCCTTCATATCATACTACAAGATTTCCGTCACTGGCTCGCAAACTCCATAACGAACTTCTAAACTCGACAGCTTAAATTCATTATCTGTAATGCCCCCGTTGTTCTATCCCTTCGCCATTGCCTACGTATTCCACCACCATCGCATGTCTTCTTACTCGACAAGTACTGACACTAGGCTAGCAGTTCCACAGTCGTGAGATAAATCCACCTATACTCTATTTTCAATCTCAATCTCAATCTCAATATCATTTACTGCCAAGAAAGAATAACTTCAGCTGGAACATTTGAATTATGCAGGGTTAAATCCATTTGCTAACGTTTTATCTTTCTTGTTTAACTTCATGCAAAGGCATGAGATGGTTGAGCAATGAAATCAGATTTTGTTTGAAAACTTGAGAATTGCCATAGGAGAATGTACAATAGAAAACTCACATGCCAGTGACGTTGAAAATGTCTTATTTGAGTTGCAGTGAACTATGTTTGGTCAGAACTGTGGCTAACATAGGTAATTAGTTTATCGCGAACCATGCAACTGTCTTCTCTTCTCCCGCATGGAATGAACCGCGCTAAACTGTTTCCTATCCTCAAATGCCATGCCAACCCTTTATAGTCTGTGATTCTACCCCCTACTTGCACTATGTTCTCTGAATCAAGACTATAACGGTATACGATGGAACTAGGCAACTTCAATACATTAGCCTACATCCCCAAAATCCTCTTTATAAAAAACTACTTAAACACAATACGCGAGGAGCTGGCCAATCCAGATGCTCCAGCTAACAACCTTTGTCGTTCTCCTCCAGTACCAAAATCCTCTTGCTTCGGAACCTTATCAATATTGATAGACCTAAACCAACGTAGTAAATAAGATCCAGAAATTAGAACGAGCATGCACGTTCCGGCAAAAGTAATAGTGATAGCGCCGACGAATACTGTACTTGTCACGATGGCAATGATTCTGTAGAAGAAGTCTCTTAAGATTTCCTGCACGGCGGATAAACTTTGGTCAGTACACTAATTTGCGCAGTTGCAGATGTTGGGGGGCGGAGGTGATATTGTTTATTTGTGGGCTGGATAGCTTGAGTCTTGTTGTATTGAAATTATCCTGTTCAGTTTGAAGTATCGAGGTTGGAAAGGCTTTCGTGCTAGGTAGTCAAATGTCAGTGATCAAGATTGTGGATTTCCTTTATGTAGAAATGGTCGGGGCTGTAATGTTCGAATGTCTTGAAGTTGATGGTACCTAAATTTCTTGAGTTCAGGACAATCCAGTGAATCTTTTATAGAATGAAAAGCCAAGGTATAGAGTGAAATATATGGGTATCAAAGATGTCTATTTAAAATCAATAGAGTCTGGTTTATTCAATGAGAAAGCTTTATAAACTTTCTTAATGTTATATCTCTTATCCAGAAACCCCTGTTTCGTCATTCACAAATTGCTTTCATGCTTCTCAGATACTGAATGAACTGCTCTTAAATAATGAGTTCAGACATCATCAAGAGGATTTCAAAGAAGGAGAAACATGCAAATATAATACAATTATCGAACTTGACAAACTACTCAACATTTCTCTGTCTAATACTTCCATCACAGAATCGAACCTGTGTATATCTTAGCTCTTTATGTAGGTGATCAATCTATCATAGAAACGAAGAGGTACCAGACTCCATAGCAAAGCGGATATCATGTTTAGGACATGAGAAAAACTAATTGAACTTTTTAAGACATGAGAGTGATTTGCTAATTTTCATTGCATATCTAACCACCTGAAACCGTTTCCTCTCTCAAATATGCCCTCATACATACCTCTACTCCAGGTCGAGAACATCCGTTAATAGTCAGTACCTATCCACTTCTCCCAGTCTCACATATCCTCGATGGACCTAGATGGATCTGCATGAACATTTTCTGCCCAGATAATCATTAGCAGGTTTTTTTTTCACTGTCTCCTCGAAGAACACAAGCTTACTTAGCTAACCAGAGTTGTTAGTCAACAGCTTAGATTTTCCCTTCTTGTAATGCATCGGTTGTTGCAATTCAGCCAACAATGGCTGGGATTCTGCCCTGATTGCATCTTGTCGTTCCTTGTCTGCCAACAACTGCGTAGATTCTATCTTCAGACTGTTCTCCCAGTCCTGATTCTCCTTACGATCCTGGATATACTTGGCTATCAAGGCTAAGATGATAATGAATGAAACAATAATAGTAAGTCCTATGATGGTCTATGCCATTATAATAATGAGCCTGTCCCAAAATTGCTCGCTAGCACTTGGTATATGCTCCAAATATTTCGTGCAATGCCAGTTGTCAGAAGGGGGTGGCACAGTGCTATTTTCTGGACTGCTAGAAAGCGGAATTCGTGCTTCACAATGCCAGATCATATGGGCGGGTGGCATGATGAAGGTTTGTGAATAAAAAGAGAATGTTTTCTCTTGTCGCTGTCGGGTTCTGTGTAACGTGTTGAGGAAAAAGAAGTAGTTTATTATATTGGAATTGTGGAGTTTGTGAATGGATGTCTTAGTTGGTGTTTGTGGTAGCTTTTACCTAGACATGATAATGTCGTTGAAATTAAGGTGTGTTGATCGCAGAATTTTCATGATTTAAATATTGAAAATTTGAAATTAACAGCCATTATACGCATTCACTAGCCTGACTAGTGCATTTATCCTACGGCAGAAGTCTTCACTCGATGAACAGTCGGGTGAGTTGTTCCTATCAAACAACTGCAAGTGACTCTAATGAAAGAGAGATCTCCAGGCGCCTGCTTGAGTTGAGTTACCTATTATTCAATAATACAGCTTGCGAAAATTCGCGTGGTGGAGCTTATGTGTCATTAATAGTCGGCTCTCGTTAACCTTAATGGCCGAATGGTTCCAGCTAAAACCAGGGACAAACGCTTTCTCCTAGTCGGCCACTGAGGTTAATGAGAGCTGACTATTAGATCTTGAAGTAAA